AAGGGCTAAATTGGATATGCCACGTACTCTGAACTACTTCAGGAATACCTTCATGCTCTAGATGGAAGTAAGTTTGCCTAGATTTAGACCAGTGGTTCTCTATCCTGGCTGAACGTCAGAATCACTTGCGGAACTTTTTAAAGATAATATCAGAATGCTGAGGTTCTGACTGGGTGGATCAGGGGTGGGTGACAGATATCTCTACTTGTTAAAGGGCTTCACAGGTGATTCTGATATGCAGCCAGGGCTGAAAATCTTTAATCTAAATCCAAATTCTTCCATACTCTTTTTTTCCCCAAAGATTTCATTTATTTTTAGAGAGAGTGGAAGGGAGGGAGAAAGAAAGGGAGAGAAATATTATTCAGTTGTCTTTCACAAGACCCCAACCTAGACCTGGCCTGCGACCCAGGCATGTGCCCTGACTGGGAATCGAACCAGTGATCTTTTACTTTTCAGACCTGTGCACAATCCACTGAGCCACACCAGCCAAGGATCCAGCCAGCAATCCAGCCAGGGATCCAGCCAGGGCCCTTCCACATTCTTAATGAGACAGCAGCTTTCATTCTCTTTTTTTTTTCCTTGCTGCATTCTCCTTCTCAACCCTGGATCAACCCAACGACCTCCTCTCCTCTTAAATTTGAATGGCTGAAGTTAAATCAATCAACATCCTCATGGTTTCCACTGCAAATTCACACATTCCAATATACCTAAGTCCTCAACACTGATAGAAAAAGCTATAGTTCCCAGGTTAGCTCATTCTCTGCCATTTTTCACAGTGACCATTTCAAATCTCAACTTTCCCTCTCTCTCTCTCCCCCTTATAGCCACACCTCCTTAACACCTCATTCTCTGCAGGTGACCTCACTTCTTACTTCATGAAGGAAACTAAAAGTATCAAGATGGAGCTCCCAACCTAACTCCTGGCTTCATCTTCAACCTCTGCTTATTTACAACAGAACCTGACCACCCCCGCCTATCTCCTGACATATGTTCTCTGAATTCCACCCGTCATACCTCTTCAGGAACTGTAATCCATCAATTACCCTTCCCTTCTCCTGTCGTTTAAACTCTCCCTCTCCATAGGTTCTTTCCCATTATAATTTAAACATGGTCAAGTCTCTCCCATCTTTTAATTCAAAAAACATGAAACAAACCAACCAAAAAAAACCCTTTCCAACTCCACATTACCCATTTTCTCAGAGCTCTCATTCTCTTCACTGCCAAGCTTCTTGAAAGAGTCATCAACGTTTGCTGTAAATACAGTACAGGGTGGGGCAGAAGTAGGTTTACAGTTGTGAGTATGCAAAACACTTCATTTTTGTTATTACTTATTTATTATTGGATTCTTTTCCATATGGATGATTGTAAACCTGCTTCTGCCCCACCCTGTAGAGCGTCTATGAACATCGCTCTCATCAAGTGTACCAATGACCTTTTTGTTGCAGAATCCAAAGGATAGTTTCAATATTTATCTTATTTGGCAACTCTTCCATACCTGCGAGGATCACACCTACCTATGTAAACCACTTTCTTCCTTTGGCTTCTGTGATCACATTCCACTGGTTTTCTTCCACCTTTTATGGTTGTTGCTTCTCAGTTTCTTCCTTGGGTTTTCTCTATCATTTCTTGAGTGCAGTCCTCGGCCCTCTTCTTTTCTTTGTCTACATAAAGTCCCTGGTTATCTTATTAGTTCCTATGGCTTTTCTTACCCACATTTTTTAACAACCTCAACCCTTTATCTCTAGTCTACACCTCTCTAGCAAGCTTCCAATTCATGTATCAACTACTACTCTCTCCCCATACTCTACAGACTAAAACCTGTTCCTAACCGTTTTTCCTCAGTCAATTAAAACAAGTCAGAAACTTCGGTGTTATCTTTCCCATCTCCCTTACCCACCTCATTGTGCACATTAAATTAAGTGCCAAGCAATGTCATTCTATATAATTAATATCTCAAAATTGTCTTCTTTGGTCCACTTTGGTTCAAACCACCCAATGTGTCTCAGTTTAATTACTGAAACAATTTCCTAAAATGGTCTCCCTGCTTCTTACTTAGAAATCAGAGTTTCTAAGCCTCAGCACTACTGACATTTTGAACTAAATATTTCTTTGTTGTGGGAGACTGTCTGGTGCATTGTAGAATGTTTAGTATGTCTGGCCTTTATGGAGTAGATGTCAGTAAGAACTCCCCATCCCACAGCATGACAATAAAAATGTGTCCATTCAATGCCAAATATAACCTGGTGGGCAAAATCACTCCTAATAACAACTATTTTAAACTCTTTCTCCACAGTATAATCTGATGCATTATTTTTCTAAAATGCCAATCGAAGCCATCAATCTCCTGCTTAAAGTCCTACAATGGCTTTCCACTGTCCCAGGAAAAAAATCCAAACCCCCAGTTTGGTTTGTAACTCTGCATGGCCTAGCCCCTGCTAAGTCTCTACCCCAACGGTGGATCAGTCCAACCCAAGGCTACTGAAGAAAATCATACCCCAGGGGTTCTACTACAAACTCCTGCATGCTCTACCTGTTGAGTACCTTTCTAGGTTCTTCTCCAACCATTTACCCTACTTTCTGTTCTATTTGAAATTGTTTCAATGTTCTATGTTCCCTATTGTTATTAATTTTGGCCCATGCTGCTCCCGAAGCCTGGGCTACCCTTCACTTCTCCTAATTATGTCTAGCTTAAATGACCCCTGCTTTAGGAAGTGCTTCTTGGCATTCCCCACCCTATAACACATATCCTACTACTGTCATCAAAGGTGAGTAGATACCCTCACACTGTGCTCTATGATGCCCTGTGTTCCTGTGGAGAGCAGGACCAATAAAATGGCATTGGTCCGATCAAGATAGCATAAAGTATAGTGGAGTCACTCTTTTCAACCAAGATGGCTGCCAGTCAGCCATGACACCCTGGTTCAAGAGGGGAACTACTTAAGTCACACTAGACACATCTGGCAAGGAGACACACCTAAGATATCTACACACGTGATCAGAACAACCATGGCTGCAGAATAGGACCACCCATAGATAGGCTCCTGGGGAAATTCTCCACTTGCCACCAGATGTGCAAAGACACTTAACAAGAGACCCAGAAGGGTGGCGTATGCCATTTTCAAGGTATAACTGAGGCAGGCTCCAGATCACTGCTGAGACAAGCTGAGCTCCACATACCAGAGTGCTGCTCCCTGCCACACTGATCTCCCTCCCATCTGCCATTAGAGGCTCTGCCTTGCTGGACTAAGGACTTTACCTGCCCTACTGCCCACCTGGCTCCAGAGATCCTTCCTTGCAAGACGCTGACAACTCCCTTGCCCACTGTGCTCTCTCCTGGACCTGCAGACTGAGACTCTGTGACTTGGGTTCATTATCCCCCATTGATTGCTATGTGTATGTTATATTTCTCTTAGATTGTTAGAGTGTGAGTAGGATATTAATGTATGTGGATGTTCTACTTTGAGAGAACCTGCATTCAATAAAAGCTAAGTGAATCGCATAGTTACCTCATATGACTCCTGTCTATTCCTTGGTGCTGGGCTGCTCAGCAGGCAGTGAGCTGAGCAGTTGCTCGGCTGACTTATAGGAAAGACTGTATCATGAACATACACCTGTGACACCTCCCCCCAACATTTTGTGGTTCACTGGCCTGGCTCCTTGTCTAAGCTATGGTCGTATACACTGTTATATCCCAAGTGCCTAGAATAAAGCCTGTCACAAAGTAGGGGCTGAAACATATTTTTAAAAGAAGGGAGGAAGTAAGAAAGGCCTAGAGAACATGCAAACTGATGTATGATGGACTCAATGTGGGCCTCACTGCCTGTTTAGTGAGTTAGATTACAGGACAATGAAATTGACTTGGTTATCTTTGTTCCTCAGGGAGATGACAAAATAACAGTTGGCTTGGTCCAAAGATTCAAGACTATAGAGAATATAAGCTGAAAACCCCTTGTTTTATAATATAAACTCTTATGAGAATAAAACCTGAAATTTTCTTGAGCCATATTAAGTAACTCACCAGAAATATGAAAGAATGCCACGTATCATTAACAAACAAAAGTCAGCCTGATTTTCAAGAATGATAGGAGTTAAGGTATAGGATCTGATTTAAAACATTTCAGCAATAACAATAATAGCAAAAAAGGACATAGATTACATGTGATATATCTGGATAAATGTTAAATCAGTGTGATGGCTACCTAGAGATTTGTTATATTAAACCCCATTATTTAAAATTTTCCTGAATACGTATTAAAGGTCTGCTTAGATTACAAACATTAGACAACAAATCTCATATACAAATTTAATAAAAATATTTCAGAAAATCATATATTTTAGGCACTACTTGTTATTAAAAAATACAGATTCATTTGGAGAATACCTTTCAGTTTTTGTAATGGGCTTTATTTTTAGGTTAAGTGAACAGTGGGCAATCCAAGGAGCAATTTCCAACCCAACTTGAATAATAAATTGAGATTTTAAATCTACAACATCAACTTTGGGCTAAACAAGAAACTGGCAGGTATGTTTTCTTACAATGGCCATCAATACTAAACAAGGAAATGACTGCAGGCAAGATAGCGTAATTGTTAAAAAAGAAATTCAACAATGTTTCATAGAGTTGTAATTCAACATAAAAGTCTGAGCCAACAAATCATATCATCAAAACTGAACAGCTCCCCAGATTCCTTTGCAATGCTGATCAAGCCAAGATGCACAGCTCCAAACCTGGAAAGGAGAGTTTATAGGAGTGTGTGGAGGAGGCTGACCTCTAACACTGCATTACAATCAGCAATGCCTTGCATTTACTTACAGAGCAGCTCTCTTGTTACCTCCTGAGAATGCTGAAGAGAGCTAAGAGACCAGGTTGAAACATTGCAAGAGAAAAACACACAGCAGCAGTGAAAATTAATACAATTAATACACTTGTAGTCTACTATCATCGCTACTACAAAAGTCTTAGAGGTCAAGGAGAGGGTTCAGATTAGAAACTGTCTCACCTGCAAAAGAACTCCCACAAGTCTAGGTTTTGAATTCTCTGTATTCTTTTAATTCTGTTGCGATCCATTGTTTTCCCAAAGAGACTAGCAACTTCATTATATTCGTGTGTTTGACTGTGCAAAGGAATAAGCTGGAAAATGAAGTTTGATAGTTTTATTGGAGTCCTTTTTCACCTCTAAGGCAGTATATTCAGTCAGTTCTGGTCTTACCTGATAGGGCACATCAGTATTCACATTCTCCCAGTGCGGTGGCATGGGGATAGCCTCATTTTCACAGATATAACTTTAAATAGCAAAAACAAAACAAAATATTAGAATCTGTAAGTGATTTAGACTTTTCTTCAAAGCTGAATTTTCATGTTGGGATAGTGCAACAAATGCAATTAAGTGTAACCCTTGGTTTCTTTATTTCAAAATATTTATTGGCTGTCTCCTTGTACACTACTTTTTAGGTGCTGAACTGAGAACTGAGAACTTTGATGGAGAACATCTAGCCCTACATCATATTAAAATTTCAAAAACTGTTTAATTTTTTTTTTGTTTTTTTTTCTGAATTGTACAGAATTTCTTTAAAATGTAAGGAAGATTTTAGGTAAAGAAATTTTCAGAAAGAAAATAAAGTCCCTTGTTTTAAAAAATAACTCTTAAAAAGATTTATTCTGCCTAGTAAATAAAATCAAAACCCCCAAACCATACATTCGATGTCCTTCAAGATCAAACCTAAACCTTTCTGTTTATTGCCCACTCTTCCCCTACAAAGTTCACATTAACTTACTTAGTACAGTCAATCAGTAACTTTTAAAAAACCATCTACCATCTTTAAGCCACTGGTTGTGAACACAGAAAAACGTAGTGATCTTGGGGAGCTCAATGGCAAAAGGCCAACACTGACATATTAATCCTCTCTGGTGACTAGAGGTGACTGGAAGAAATTATAAATTTCAAGCTTCTCTTTAGCTTAATTTTTAAGAACTCATTTCAGCTTTGAAAAGATCATACAATCATATGATTTAAGAATTAGTAAGTATTTAAAAAAGTAAGCAGTGGATAGTTTCCCTGCCACTTCAGTCCTTGGTCTCCAGTTCTCACCTCTTGCCTCAACTCCAGTAATCATTGTTTTCAGTTTCTTGGGTACTCTTCCAGGACTTCTTTAGGTTAATGTAAGCCGATTTTTCCCCACACACAGGTGGTAGCATAAGACATATGTCTTTTGCAGCTTTTATTTTTTACTTACTACATTCTTAGAGATCTTTCCACATCAGTAAAGAGAGTATGTCCTTTTTTCCAGTCCTTACCATAGAGCCTGGCCCATGGTGGACACTCCAAAAATACTGATTGAAGACCGAAGGCATTCTATTCTACAGATGCATAGAATTCCATGGTATGGAGACACCATAATTTACTTAACAAGTCCCCTATTCAAGATATTCAGGTTTTTACACCTTTTACTACTGTTAAGAATGCTGCAAGGAACTAGTTTGTCCACTTGTCATTATATGCCTCCACCAATTTGTAGGATGACATCTTTGAAATGGAATTTCTCAAAGAATGTATTTATTCAGGATTTTGACAAATACCAATCAAATGCCTTTCCTGAAGGTTGTACTCATTGACATTTCCACCAGAAAAATAAGAGAATGCCAATTTTCCAACCTCACCAAAAAGGCGTGTTATCAAACTTTTGAATTTTTGTCAATCTGATAGTAAAAAAATAGTCTGATATAATTTGTATTTCTCTTGAGTGAGGCTGTATGAACTGTTCAAATTGTTGGCTCATTTTTCAAGGGGTTGTTGGTTTTATACTTAGTGATTCATAGAAGTACTTCATATACTATAGAGATGAACCCTTTGTGATAGTGAGTGACAACAGTATACCCAGTTTTTTTAAAAAAATTTGCCTAAAGTATCTTTTAGCTATAGAAAAGGTTTTATATTTTTTAAATTTTTGTTTCCCATAGCCTTAGATAACTGTTAATTCCTTGACAGTGGAAAATTTGTACCATTCCCCTTACATGTATTAATTCTTGTAATAAATAATACATTTAATAAATATGTGTATATATGAATACATAAATGAATATATGTACATATGTACAATATATTCCAGAAATAAATAAATTAGCATTTCTCTATCAGCACATACTCATCTTCATCACTCTTCTGTACCCCACCTATTCTTCCTCTTTCCCTATCTAGCTTATTATCCTCTATTCTGGTTCTTTCTCTCCCTCTCCTGTCTTTGTTCTGTGTTTTGTATCGTCTGTGAGAGAATAAACACTATGTTTCTTCTCCCCATCAAAATATACCAGTTATAATGATATGCCTTTACAATAACATTTTCCATTATTATGTCTCATTTTTCTACCAGATTACACACTCTTTGAAGATAAGTAATTCCTTACTCTATTCCTTGTACTTGAGAATGAGGATCTGATACAGTTGGCAAGGAAATAATATTTTCTACATTCCATAGAAGTACCAGAACATTCATTACATAAGTACTTAAATAACTTTTAAATCAGGATGCTAAAATATAAGCCAAAGTCTCATGAAACTGATAGAAACGTAATATTTTTCATTCCTTAATCTAATTCTTCCAAAATATCTCCTTGGAAAGAGCAAAGGGGTATCTCTTAAAATTCACATGCTAGCATTTTTGTTGTTGTTTCATTTTAAATTCTTTGGGCAGCAAGAATGTCAAAAATTGCTGGAGGACTCATTCCAGGAAATAGACACACTGTAAGATTTTTCCCCTCAATTCCATTCACAGTAATACAAAATATGTATTCTCATCTGGCATTTATACTACTTTTCAGGCCATACAAGTCCAGAAATAGAAAAAAAGAAAACCTGTAACAAGGAACAAGCAGCAGGGCCGCTGCCCCATCACCCTGCTGTCCCCTGTCACTGCAGACTTGAACATACTTCTAGGAGTGCCCAGTAGGGATCAGAAGAGATGGAAAAGAGTGGTAATTGTTTAGGATTTATGGCCCAAATAACTGGATGGTTCTTTAAGAGTATTTCCAAGTTAATTCAAAAGTACCTAAGTAGGTTATTTTAAGTATGCAAAGCAGAGACTATAAGGTATTTTTAACTACCATGCAAACTGTTCTAAAGAACTGAAAAATATAAACATACAAAGTGAAATTAAAAGGATAACAGGAAACCCAACATGGGCAGAAAATAATTATATTGCTATTTCATCAACCAAGGTGAAATTCAGTAATGAAGGATTAATATTAAGATCATTAAATAACCTACCAAAATATTTTCAGCCTATTGGTTCCTCTGTCAAATATTAATACAGAGAAAGAAAAAGCTCATTCTTTCTGCCGCTATGCTCTTTACAGTACCTGAAAGCACTGATAGAAAAGGGGGCTCTTTTTATTAAGCGCTGCTTTCCAGTGGTGAGATTCATTTGCTTCATTTCTGCATAAAAAGACAAAGATGTTAGATAAGTTATAGAAACATATTGTGCTATAAATTGTCACAAAGATGTAGAGCCGCCTACACAATCAGGAATCACAGAGCTTTGGGAGTAGCTGACAAACCTAGTGTATTAAAGATACTTTACTACCTATGTATCTAGCATGTCATAAAAGTACTATTCAGGGAGGACAGCTTCATTGCTGGATCTACGCCCATACAAAAGAATGCAAACTTCAAATGCTGCTCAGTATGCAGGGTCTATTCCTTTCTGACATTAAACTAGAAGAGTTCTACACTTAGGAAAATTAAGAGTACTGGAAGGAGAAAGGAATTATAGTACTGAATATTCTAGGTGGCTTAAGAGGAAAATATAGGTTGATTTCTCCAAAAATTTTGGAAATGATTTAAAAAATACATTACCATTATAAAACTGGCACAATTCACAGAATTTCAAAAATTTGTATATTTCTGGCCTCCTCTTTAAATTGTATACCTAAACCAAAACATAGAAAACCTAGCTAGACTCAGTACATACTTTCTTAAGAGATTCTAGTGATAAACAGCTAATTAACTAAAGGTATCATTTTCTTCTTTCATCTATGCCTCAGCGATGGCAGTATTTACTAGGACCATTTCTTCATTCCCACAAAGTTGAATACCAAGTCTTAATGTGAGATTCTAGTCAGTTTATCTTATTAATTGGCATTATTCCATTACAAAATAAAGGGATTCACCCACGCAGGCAAATGCTGTATAAAGTATGCTCTGCCCTTTCTATATTCTGGAGTCTGTACATACTGGCATTACCACTGTGCAGGGAAAAGCAAGATCTCAGCACACATTGCAAAATCTGTGGTGTCTTCTATGCCGTCTCATTCTGAGTTTGCTCTTTACCATTTTTATAGAGAGAAACTGAGCTGGCTTATGGCAAAACGATTAGGACTAATTTTGCAAATAGTACGTATGAAATGCTAATACTTATACTTCTGAAATGATCATGACACAGAGGATCGGGGAACTTGAGTTATTACATGTGACTCCTACTTGATTTTTAAAAGTTTTCATAAACAGCCCCAAAATAGAGTTTACTAGAAAATATTTGTTCAGAAACATGTTGCTTGCTGAATTATCTACCAAATGCTTTGATAAACTTCATCCTCTCCAGGAGTGATGTCTGTGCATATCAGTGTGTCTCAGTCCTGCTTCAAAGCTGGCCCTTGTATACAAGGCTAAAATATCTATCAGATACCTTCTGTCTAGACTGTAGGAGGAAGACAAATGTCAGGGCCCCCTTAAAGGCAGGCAGCTTATTTGTCTAATGCCATACAAAAAAAGTAATGGTTAGTCAGGCGTAAGAATCTAATGGTTAGATTCTTGATTAAACAAAAGAAAAAAAAAACTTTGGGGGGGATAACAATCATTTCGGTTGCACCACCCTCTCACTGGACAAACCCCCTTCACCGTTTCTGGGCCTTGGCTCATCCAAGGAATTTCCTAAGGTTTCACCACCCTACTCTACAACAACACACTATTAACTGTCATAAAGGCACTACTCACAGAAACTGGGAAGAACGTTAAGAGGACTGGGCTGTGTAGCAACCAAAATGCATTCTTCTTAAGACAGCTTCCCCAGGCCATGTTTGCCTCTAAGTAGCAAACAGCTGGGAGTATAGCAGCTTCAAAGTGAGAGGGTAGAATATAACAGGTTTTTCGTGGGATACCCCAAAACATGCCCTATATCATGAATAAAATCCAAAGTGCGGCTGATTTCCAGATTAGCTGCTAATCTGTGAAAGAACCATTGAAATCAGAAAATGGCAGAAGGCTATGTCCATTAAAGAGATAGGTTTCTGGCAAAGGCACCAAGAGGTAGGTCATTCTTCTGAACTTCGGTCTTAAAACTATCACCAACTTTGTCACGTAGCTTCTCAGACTGATCATTAAAATAAAAAGGTTCTTATCTATTTCAAAAGACTGATGGGATGATGAATAAAACAATAGCTTAAAGTGTTTCTATTCATTAGAAGAGAAGCATTACATGAATATATGACCATGTCCAAACACATTAGTACCTAGAAGCATATAGATAATCCTTTATAAAAGACAATGTTGCTCAAGATTTTAATCTTGACTTTTTATAGAGGTATTTTTAAGTATTTCAAAAAGGATTTACTTCACCGTTTACAAATGTTATCAACTAACCCTGATCTTCAGAACTATAAATTTTACTATATAGTATACTAAAAACATACAACTATTAGGGGGAAAAAACATACCTGCAAAGTCTATCTTGTAGCTGAATTTGGAAGTAGTAAAAGAAATGGAGCCACAAGGATTTGTTTTGAAGCTTTTTTCGATGTCTTCACTGCTAACTGAACACTGAATGTTGGTATCCGGCTTTAAGACAAACCAGAAAGTTTCATTTACCAGCTGTTCACATTAATGGCTTGGCCACAGAGGTGGTACTGTGGTCACAGAGACAGAGGACAGTGTAGCAAGGAAAACTTAACTCATTGCCTGTTCTAGCTCCCTATACAATGGGGGAGTCACAGCTAAGTCAGCATGTTAAAAATAGTTCAATGATTTACAGCAAAGAAACTTCAACAAGTGGTTAAAATGCCTTTTCCGAAATTATTACAATTGTCACAAATTATGACAATAGTTACATGTCCTAAGTGGCTCAAAAATTAAATCTTCTTTAAGTGGCTTTGTGAGTTAAAAAATAATAATAAAAGGCCACAAGCTTTAATCATTAGCTGTGCGACTCTGGACAAATTACATTAACTCTTCTGAACTTCACTTTCTTTGACCATAAGGCCGAGTGCCAACATCTGCTTTGAAGTTGTTATGAGGATAAAGGAGAAAACATCTGTACACCACCTAACATAATACCTGGTGTACAGAAGGTGTTTAGTATGGGCTGCTCTCTTCCCTTTCTTTGCCCACCAAAGCAAACCTGGGGTTGCTCAGGCGTACTGATACCAGGCAACTCTCAGTCATAATCGCCTCCTGTACACACGGTAAACACAGAATGTTTCTTCTAAATAAAGTATTGTGAAAACCTGGGGAAAAGAAAAGGAAAAGGACTAGAAGAATTTCTAACTTTTTCTTTAGTTAAGCTATCTGATTTCCTTAGGTTTTGATTTCTTTCAGGTTTGCTCATAACTCATTTTATCAATCAGCAAGATGACATTGAGTGGATCTAAATCCCTTCTGCTATGTTTAAGGAAAGGAAATACCTGAAACATGTGCCACTTTCCACATTCTGCCAAGTAAAACCAGCCCCACTGGGTATCTGATGTGTCCATCTCATCCACCTCACTATCTGCAGTTTTGGATAGGAATTCTTCGGCTTTGTGAAACATCTCCTGGAACGGCAGAAAGAGGTAGGAAAGAAATGTTTGTTTTCTAACAATTGATGTACTTTTTACACATTATTTTCTTCTTACAAAGAATTATATTCCAAGTGCCTTTCCCCCAGTGACACTTCAAAAGTAGCATTCTATGTTGTACATTAGTTCTGAAGACAGACATTTAAAAATGTTGAATAACAGTGCTCACCAAATAAAACAAATAATGATACACTTAGGTAGGCTATATCAATGCCCATTCAACCATTTAAGTAAGCTGTATCAACCTCTATAAGCACTCTCTGACTCTCAGTATAGTGCCAAAAAATTTCTGCCCTATCCTATGTTCATTCATATATTTGGTTAAAAGGGTCCATGCTAACACAACTAATTAAGACTGAATATATCTGATTTTTGTTTTAAAAATTTCTTTTAATGGCGTGGAAAGATTTTTATAATATATAGTGCTCAGTACAAAGAAGGTTGCAATAAATAGAAATAATATAATCCAATTTTAATTAAAAATACATCTATATTTACCCACATGAATGTATGTGTATGTATATATACAAGAAAGTCTGCCTAGATATACAAAAATTTATTGTAGTTTTTTCTGAGTGTTGGGATAATAGTAACCTTTATATAGCTCTTACTATGTGCCAAGTGCTGTTCTAAGTAATGTATAGATAATAACTCATTTAGGCCTCACAACAACCCTATAAGATAGGTACTATTATCCAAAATTTATAAGTGAGGAAACTGAGGCACAGAGAGGCCCTAGAGTCAAGAAGCCAGGATTCAAACTCAGGCAGTCTGGATCCAGGGTCTGTGTATTTAACCACCATGATATACGGCCTTATACTGCATTATCAATGATTTCATAATCTCGACATGAGGTCTGCCTGGAAAAAAATCCAACCATTGTTAATCCAGTGAGAAAGGTTTGCATGACATCAATACAGCCTGGTAGCCAAGGAGAGTGGACTGCAATGCACCTGTGTGAACAATGACAACTTTACTGTCCTAGTCAGTGGGAGTAGTAGATGCTTTTGAATGAGCATGTGTACTGTGTGGCTGTCGCATTCAAAACAACTGAACAAGTAAAGTAACAAATCTGCATCAAATGTTGCATTAAGCTGGAACATTCCTCTACAGAAACTATCTGGATGATTCAGAAGGCCGCAGCTATGGGCAACTGGTGATTGGCAGCTTCATCACAACAATGCACCCGCTCATGCATCACATCTCTTGCAGATTTTTTCTGGCAAAAAATCAAATCACCCAAGTGACTCAGCCCCACTACAGCCCAGATTTGGTGCTCTGCAACTTCTGGCTTTTCCCAAAACTAAAATCACCTTTGAAAGGGAAGAGATGTCAGACCATCAGTGAGACTCAGGAAAATATGACAGGGCAGCTGAAGGCAACTGGGAGAACTGTGTGAGGTCCCAAGGTGCCTATTTTGACCGAGGGCATCATTGTCCTATGTACAATGTTTCTTGTATCTTGTATCTCCTTCAATAAATGTCCCTATTTTTCATAGTACGTGGCTTGATATTTTCTGGACAGGCGTTGAACAACTAACATATACACAATATCTTTGAAAGGTTTTAAACATTCTTGAGTAGAGATTGTGATAAAGAGGAAGTCACCAGAGAAAGGGCAGAGAAGTTATCAATGAAGATAAAACTTTACTGGAATATTGCTTTCTGTCCTCATTTTTTAAGGATTTTTAATTACTAGTTCAAGTTTATATAACTATTAAACGAGAACTTGCTCCACAAGATAATGCCAAAGACTTTTTTGACCATTACTTCCATACTTCAACTCCTTTTATCTTCTCCCCTACCTTCTCCACAGTTAACCAATGCTATCAACTTACTGTTTACCTTTTATATATCTGTCTCTCTACCCTTCTCTCCCTCCTCGTGTGTGTGTGTGTGTGTGTGTGTGTGTAATCATATATACACATACAAACATGTATAGTTATTGGTGATTTTTAAACTTTTTATTTCCTATATATTTGATTTTTTAAAAAAAGAATATGCACTTCAGTAATTTTTAAAATATTTGTTTTTATTTTCATTATTTTAAATGTTCATCATGTTTCCGGAAGTTGTGTAACCTGGGATGAGATTCTATTACCTTCTCTAAGCCACAGTTTCCTCATCACAAAATGGAGATTAAAGGCTCCTACCTCACTGGGTTGTTGTCAGAAAGGAAAGAGACAACGCCGTAAAGTACCAAGTATAGTACCTGAGCTCAATGAAGGGGACTTAGTCTTTTTTATTCATGTTTTGAATCTGTCATCAAGGAATGCTTTTTGATTATTTTCTGTTTTTTTGCCTTCATGTTTTAAAGTTGATTGGCTGCTAAGAAATAAAAAATAGAGTTCAGGAGCCTCAGGTTTAGGTCCCATTATTTACCTTATATATTTTAACCACATAATAAAGGCAATGATTTCAATTTTAGGATCATTTGTACATGTTAACTATTCACAACTTCTTCTTCCTTCTATTAACATTCACATCATTTGGCTATTTTACTGTGAGAAAGAAGGAAAGACCTAACTTCAGTTTTCCTTCTGAAAATAATCAGAAAAAATTTGGAAGAATGACTCTGAATGTAATAGTTAAGAAAAATATTTGGCTTCCGAATTTTATCTTTTCTCTACTAGAAAAGGGAATTTTAAAAATACAGCATGTTGCATGTATACATCATGTAGGCAACACGGATGCTTTGCCTCATCAGACTGTCCCTAAGATCACATTTTAAGCCAGGTAATAAGTGAAAGTGTTTTACAAAAGTCCTTTCAGAACTTCCTGTCATCAGCAGCTTTGGGTAGGACCTAGGACTGATTCTTATTTATCCCTGTTTTAGAGAGGGCAGCACTATAGACAGGTACTGCTGTATTGAACATTCCTAAAGCATTTCAAATCTTATAAAATTCTCTATCAATTTACACTAATTTTTTCCTTCATATCCCAGTGTGCAGGGGAAGCCGTTACAGTTAAACCTTTGGTTCTCGACCAAGTTGTTCACAGAAAAACAATGTCTCGGTTGTCAAACAAAACGTCGGTTCTCATCCCAACAACCCTTTCATGCCAAAACCTATATGATCAGTCACCCGTCTCTCAGGCACAATTCAGTTTTTGAACAAATCACTTCTCAAACAGCCTTCTGGAACTAATTAAGTCTGAGAACTGAGGTTCCACTGTATTGATCAATTAAAGTTAGGAAAAATCCAAAGCAGAGGAATTACAATTATTTTGTCTAGAATCATAGAGTTAGTAATACAAAGATTAAAGAAACACCCAAGGCCTCTTGAGTGTCACCTCTTCCCTAAGCTGCCGACACCCACTGCTTCGTCTTCATATACAAAATTCGTTCGTTCTTTCCTCTGTTGCCAAAGCTTAATTTGATTTCTTTGCTTCACAGATGCTAAGGCTTTCTTTTCAGACTCAGTTCATAAGACTAAATCTTACAGTTTCCTACAATAAATGTTCCCTCCAAAGGCATGGCGATTCTGCAAAAAGCTCACAGAGTAGTCAAGTTTAAATTAATAACTTTAAAATACTATAACCATAGTAATAATAGATCTAGGTTAGAACACACTAACAAGCAATAAAAGGAATGTGTGTAAGTTGTCTGTCATGGAGGGGGCAATTAACAAATGTCATCTGAATGAATTAGTTCAGCCACAATGCCATACATACTCTGCCTTGATTTCCCGCTTTTTAATTGGCAGATAATGATAACACCTGCATATCAGAGCATGATGAAAAAGAGTTACTAGTACAAAGTGAAGAGCATTTTGTAAATTTTCAAGTGCAGTATGCTGGTGAAGCCTGTCTATAATGCTATCTATTCCAAAGGTAATGTTTATGGGGCCTGAGAATAGTTAGTCTGGATCATCAAATTGAAAGGCTATGTGGAAAATGAATTTAAAGTCAAAATCCTGTTCTATGGAAGAAAATATACTGCCGCCTTCCAGACTGGTTAAAAGCTTTCTGATAAGTTTATCACAATATACAAAATATAATTTATTTTGTTAGTGTAAACATAATACCTCAAGGAAATCATATTTGGTCTGGAAAACTTGCTTGTTTTTTATAGAAAGAAGGTCCAAAACTTGATACTAAAAGCTTAAAAACAGGGTAGAACATTTGGAAAGACAGAGTAAGGAGATCCAGTGGGCCCTCTCCCCAGCAAAACTGCAGTTTAACTGATGAACATTATTTTTAAAAAAGAAGTCTCGGGAAATTTGTCCTAAGGGCGTATAGCAAATGGAAAAACATTTACTGAACAAACTCTACTAAATCTCAGAACAGGCAAGAGTCTGGCATTTGAGCCAAGATCTGTTCTATTACCCCCACCCCACGAGCTCTGTGTTACAGCTGCTCTACCTCTGGCACGTGCAGCCAAGAAGTCAGGGACTCCTTTTCCTTCCAGCTTCCATTCTGGGGCTAGTTTCACCCTGGGAGGGGCAGGCTGCTGGGGCTTCTCATTCCCTTCAGCTGGGAGGGGCAGAGGTCTATTCTGGGCAGGCACACAGAGCCCCAATTTCCCTTCTTCCATTCAGATCCCACTCATTCGGTGGAATCTCAACTGGAGGCACAAGAGGCAAAGAAGACTGGGCCTTGAGAGCTACCATCCCAGTTTGCTCAGAGGGTAGAAGTTTCATGCTGGGAGGACTAAGTCAAGAAGATCAGGGGCTACCACCACCCCTCCCACCTAGTGCCCACTCAAAGGGTGGGGTGTCACTCTGGGAAAAGTGGGCCCCAGCCCCAGCTCCAGATACAATGACACAGAGGTTCTCTAATCCAGGGGAAGGCATGCCATAAGGACAAAGAGATTCACATTTCTATCTGAGGGGAATGCCTTTATCTGGAACAGAAAGAAGAGAACCTAAGGCCTAAGAACACTATAGAAAAAATGGAAATCTTCATAAAAACAATTTATGGGAAGCCTGAAGCAGGCAGATATTTAATATAGAGAACAAGGGATAGCCAAGAGCCCTT